CAATAAAATACACATTTTTAACATTAAATTTTTTTCGTGTCATATGCACTTTAAGTAGTCCTACCAAGAATCAGTTTGTTTTGGTGTGTAATTTAAAAACTGCTTTCATTCATTCACCATGATCTACTATTCAAAATTTGTGCAATATAAAGCAATCACCAAATACGACAACTTTGTTATGTCAATTCTTGCTTCTTTCTTGGAAGCTCAGGCATAACTATTTCCTATTTCATTTCCTATGCGTTTCCTATGCGTTGTTCTTTTGAGAATAAGATGATTTGGTAAAGTTGTATCCATATTCATGTGTCTTCTCATGTTAAACTGTTAAATTAAGAAATTATACTCTATGGATGACAGATGGTCTGAAATGAGACACCATAATACCAGGGCTAAGAATAACGGCTGTTCATGATAACCAACCAGATACTTTTAGCGTGGTGATACTTTGTTTCTGGCCAAACATTACTGGTCAAAATAACTGACAAGAAAAGATTTGACCAGACAAGTTCAAATTCTGGCAGACAATGTTCAATGAATGGTTATTATTTTAAGCCCTGTGACACCCAAGCTAAATGGGTCTATTGTGTGAATGAATTATGCGATTAAGAATGAAATCAATTTTAAAATGACACAACTGACTCCGGGAAAGATACATTCTAAATACTTTGTCCTGTCATACCATAAGTTATATAATTTCTAAAAACTCCTGTCATGAAAACTTTCTTAATGTAGCTAAAAGAGTGAAGTATGACGTATCTCTCAGATCGAGTAAGCTTTAGGACTGAAAGGGATTCGCTGAAAGAAATGTCTTCCGGATAGAAACAATTTTGGAATGTGTCCTACGATGCCATAACAGTAGTTATGTATATGGAGTACGAATATGTGGATTGTTATTCACCTGATATGATCTAAAAATAATAAYAAAAATGGGAAAAAATAAATAAATAGCTAAGTAAAAAAAACCAAATTTCTCAAAAAGCCAAAATTTTAGGGGGGGGGGGGCTAGTTTCTTCCATCAACACAACGAAAAACAATAAAAAAGCATCTAATTCTTTAGTTTTGTCTTTTGTTTTTTTTTCCTGCTGAAGGGGGTCTTCAGCCCCCCTTTTCCCCCCCCCCCCCCCTGGATGCACCCTTGGTGAGAGAAGGCCCTTCCCCTCTTTGTCAACTAGTTTATTGACAAGCCTGGGGTTGTCTTGAAGTAAAAGGGAATGCAATGGTAGAGTGCACAGCTTATATCTGTGGAACAATATTAATGGCTATGTAGCAATTACACTAAGAATTCACTCTGGCTTAAACAAAACAAAGGAATTGACTTTTGTTGGCCAATATTCTGCTCCAGTAATAACCACTATTTTCTAAAAAAATAACTGCTATAAAATAGTATATCTTTGGTTTTGTTTCACCGATATATGGCTAATGTACTCTATGGAAGCAAAAATATATGTTGCAGTTAACACATATGCTGCAAAGGAATAYTTTATGTTCTTACCGAATATACAGTTTCTTTGATAAAACCTTTCCTATCACTCAAATCAAATTCTGGAAACTTCGAAAAAACCTGAAACAGTATTAAAACATAAAAAAATCTTAGATTCCAATAATGTGATTCCATTGCTGTGAAAAGTATATACATGTAATTTGTCAAAGTTGCCAAGTGATCATGCCTGATCATAACTTTGTTTACGAGGGAATAGACAGGGGACAGATACCATTTCCTACTGAAATGAAATATTCACTATAGCAGTTTCTATGACTGAAAAACGCATGGTAATAATACAGATATGACATGGTAAGGCATATGCCAGATGCAAAAAAATTACTCTCCATCCAATCAAATACCCAGAACATGGCATGAACAAGGTCATGGCACTGCCAGACCAATCACAATGTGTTAGAAAAAAATCACCACTCAAAATTCTAGAAAAATTACATGGTTTCTTCAAGGCACACATATAAAAGCTTCTTTACTTTACTCTACTTACTTGTTTGCTTATGGACTTCACTGTAACCTCATCAAGGTCAGCATCTTTTAGGATATCCTTTACAGCACTAGCTAATTCTTCATTCTATCATCAAAAACAGTGTAACATATTCAATTTATTTATTAAACAAATAATATTACTTATACTCATTGCTTTAGGTACTTACAGTAGGCGGCTGTTTCTTGATCTTCTTTGCTAATGGTTCATCATCTGAGGATGATTCATCATCATCAACTGGCTTCTCGACTAAAAGGGAAAGAATATATTGACCTTTATAATGTGGCAGCCACAATAGATTAGATTCAAGGAGTTTTCAAGGAGATTAAGGAGTAGCACGAACCCTGGCAGACACATGCAACTCAAACAAAGAATCTTAATCTCAAGAGAATGACATGTAGTCTGAACCAAGGTAAAGATGTCTATTGGACTGTGAAGGGTTTTAGGATGTTAAAATATAGATTACCTTTCTTGGGTGATTTCTTTGGGCTCCTTTTCCCTGCTGTTATTTTGACTGTCACTGGTTTACTCTTTGTTTTCTTGGTGTCTTTCTTAGCTTCTTTCTTTTTATCCTTTGTTTCCTTCTTTGCACTTTCTTTCTTTTCAGATTTTGGTTTTTCCTTCTTCGGAGATTTTTTTGTTTCTTTCATAGTTTTAGTAGGAGATGATACTTTCTTGGGGCTTCCCTTTGATTTTGTAGTCTCTTTGCTTTCAGTTTTGGTCTTTTTCTTYTTAGGCTAGAAGGGAAGGAAACCAGTTATCAGGGCTTTAAATAATGGCCAGGAATAGGACAATATCCTGTCAGACCTGGATCTTGTCTGGTCAAATATTTTCCTTGCTGSTCATACATGTTTTAAGAGTTCCACGCCACTGCTTTAAGCTCATGCTCATGGGGTCAAAAAGTGGTACCATGGGTTGTAAAAATTGCTATATGCTAATTGCATTTTTCTTGTCAAGCACAATTTTTATTAAAATATCCAAGAGCAAATAGCGTTAAGCTAATCCCAAATCTAATATACCAAAATATAGCAATTTTTACAACCCATAAACAAATGTTTTGACCCCTTGAGTATGCACTTAGAGCAGTAGCAAGGAACTCCTGATGTATGTATTTTGACCAGTAATGTTAAGCCAGAAATGAGGTATGACTAAACTAAAACTAATCTAGCCTGTGATCATGACTGGTGACTGATCAGCTCTTATTTTAAGCCCTGGTTATAAATTAATTTGTTTCATGAGAGGTATAATGCATCTGCTTGTAGATATATATCTATTAGGTGGTATATGCTGCTATGGTGCTGACTTTCACGGCTGTGTAGTTCATGCCTGGGGTCGTACATTCAATTCTCAATCGCACTGCATGTTTGGGTCTAGTTTGTTTTATGTGTTGTTCTATCACTTGCCATAGACATTTTCTGGTATAGCGAAAATGGTGCATTGTGGTCTACCATGGGTATGAACATCTTTTACTCATCATGCCTTATATGGGCTGTTTCTACCAAATCTAGACCACAATGCTATGCATTCTGTTTACAGAAAAGGACATGGTTTTTTTTCTTAAGTCATCCTCCCTCTTTGAATATCAACATGTTGGTTGAGTGTTGGGTGCAGTAAAAATAAATGTTATAGTAGTGCATGTGGAGTAAACCTCATAGAAGAGCCTCTTACATGGAGTGATGGTTGAACAATATATATAGTATTATACAGTTAGTTAAGGCTTGTAAAGCATAAGTTGACCCAGTCGAGAGACCAACTGGCCTCAAAATCTGAAATGCATTGGTTAATACCTCTTCCTCCTCACTCTCTTCTTCATCTTCATCTTCATCATCATCCTTTACTTGTTCTGAAGATTTTTGTACCTGAAAACACATTTTGAGGTTCTTTACTCAAGTGGTTAATAAAAAATAATCATATTTACTACTGAAATGATGTTACCTTAGCTGATGTTCTCTTTCTCTTTTCACCTTTTCCTGTTTAAAACAACACTTCTTTTATTACAAGAAGACAATAAGAGACAAAAGCATGCATTCTAATTCATAAGAATGAAACAAAATAATAATAAATAAAGAATGGGTAAAGAAATGAAGAAAACAGATAAAAAAGAAAACAAACAACAAAATAAGGAAGGGATTAAAAACATCAATTAAAAGATTTTTAAACAACAATAATAGTTGAAAAAGTCGTATGCAGTAAAAAAACTTGCACTGTTGCAATAAATAATAATTATAAAATACAAACCTTTACTTTTTGGCTTTGATTTTTTTGCTTTCTTTTTGGCAGATTTCACAGTCTGTTAAAAATCAAAAAATTGTGTTCATTTACTGCACTGAAATCTGCAGTTTTGATAAGTTAACTCGGTGTCAACACTTGGGGTCTTAAAATAAATGATATATAATTAATAATATATAATATATACTAATAGTTAGGGCGTCATGTTATGTGCCATGTTGCTTGAAGGACAACATAAAATGACACTAACTCATCCTGCATTGGAGACACATTAAAGGACATTAATTTTGAGGATGTAAAAAAAGTCTGGCAGTGACCACACTCAGTATCTGGACAATTATTTTATAGCTTAGATAGCATGTGTGATCTAATTGGCTGAGAACTATGCTTTATAGTACTTAGCCTTTCCATGCTTCTCTTTGGGCTTACGTCACACTTTTGCTATATTAATGTACCAGGCATGGTAAAAGCTGTTTTATTTTTTACCTAATATCAACTACCTAATAAATTGAATTGAATAATAAAATAAACTATCATCCGTTTTGTCACACTTACCCTTCCTGATCCCTTGGGCTTCATCAAAAATGTAAAAACACGCTCTTTCAAGTCTTCCTATAAAGATAATTTATACTCTTAATATAAAGTCATGTCCATATTGGTATCACTAGTCAATATTATAGAATTTAAGTATTGATTACAGCAACACCGAAACCACTATGTAAGCATGTTTTATTTAACAGTTTTTACTTTGGTACTGTGTTCTATGGTGCTTCTGTTCTTGTAAAAATGTTAGATTGGTGCTTTTTAGGTCACTAGGGAGAATGGCAAGGCAGAGGGTGATGGCACACACAAACACACAAACTATTTCATTTTGGCTTTGCTGTCCACAATCCTCAAGGTCCCTGTTAATTTGCCAAAGCTCTATTAGCAAACCAAAACAAAATAACCTCAATGTTCGAAATTGTGAATATTATAATGATGTAATCCTTAAGTTATTGAAGATAAAATTTGAGAAATATAAGTACATTTTGGGCTACCTGTGGCTGCAAGAAACCACAGGGGTCGTGCTAAACAACTATTCCACCAATTTCCATCTCTACAAAGAACTTTTATTACTTACCCTGGTGCCTTTCTTTTCAAGATCCAAGATTTCTAAGAGTCTCTTCAATCCTTCATTTGTGAACCTAAGAAAATAGAACATGGAATGAGTAAACAACTGAAAAAAACTTTGTTCTATTCATTTATAAAAAGTCTTACCTTTCGACCATAAATTTCTTATTTTCATACTCTTTAGTTCCCTGCAGAAATTTAAAAAAGTTAGTATCATAATATAGAGGAAATTACATCGCTGCACTCACTCGTGAGATATCTAAATTGAACACGAGAAGATAAAATTCTTATCTCCATGCGCCCATGTAATGTTCTGTTTATTATATAGATGTCGATGAAACTTAAATAAAACAAAAGCTTAACAATTCTTTATTAAAGTTGGTTGAAAAATATGTTACTATGTCAACAGCGATATCTTCACGTGTGAAAGATATGGTATCTTCCACTGGAGAAAGATATCAAGTTTTTGACACTAGAGAAAACCTGGTATTTCATCAATATCTATACAATAAAACCTTTATTATGTATCTCTGGTCCTAAGATCTYCCCTCATGCATTTACTGTAAAATCAACCTGCTCTTCAAATTATGGAGTCCTTTTTGAATTAATTTAGAAGGGATTTATGGCAAGAAAGAAGAATGCACCAATTTGGCAGATTCCTGAAGTCAGCTTAACCNGCCTTGTATCTTTTCGTTCGAATTGAGACTTTCGCATTTTCTTCAAGCTACGATATAAGAGCTAAATACATTTACCATAAATGTCAAAGAGCAGAATGAAKGTTTAAAAAGTATCCTACATTCAACATAGCGTGTACAGTAATGCTCATGTGCCAAAATATTTTGCACCAAGTACTCTGCTCTCTGCGATATACTCAATCATTGTTTATATCTATTGTCGGATCTCTCATTCGTTCGGCGAGACGTTATATGTATGTAAGTTGCCCTGTTTTCCCCCAAAACACTACGATGTTTCAAAACAAGAACCACTAAAATCTCAAAAAAACTTAATTACGATGTGTTTCGTCCAAGAGAATTTTATAACAAATGTTTCCATCGAAATTTGCGTAAGACTTTGCAACGTTAAAGCGTACCGCGAGATCGCTCTTGTCTGCCATTTTCAAAATACAGGAGACCCAATCATTACCACAGCAAGACCAAAATTCTTTATTCAGCAATGCCACACAATAAATAGATAACGGGCCGAAACATCATCGCTTTCGAAGCGATATAGGCTTGTTACCTCTGTGGAGTCATATCAACATGTTTGGCATATTTGTGAACTTTATTTTAAACTATGTTAATTAGCTTCACAGATCTTCATAAATATAACATACCTCTTCAAAATTAAATCCATTGAAAGCTCTAATATTTTTCTTGATTTCTGTTGACTGTGGAGCGCAATTCAAAAAAATATCATTAGAAAAACTGGATTATTTATTGATTAAATAGCAAATTTGAAGCACAAATCCATACTTTACAGCTGACTCAGACAATAGCAAACCAATCAATATCATAGCAGTTTTCGCTGAGTATTCTAATTATGAATTAAGAAAATGCTTTTGGTATTGCAATTTTATACAATTGTGAGTTTGTAGGGCATAGCAACAGTAACTAAGGGGAGAGGAATGAAACCATATTGATACCTAAAAAATCTTAAAGATAAAGAAAACAAAAAGGTGATATAAAGGCCCTTACAGCACAAWGCACAAAATAATTCACCATGTTCAATGTATTCACATACTTCTATGCACTGGCTTTTCGCTTTTTCCTGTCAAACAAGCATTATTTTGTGTGACTTATTTGGTAAAATCAGCCAKCTTCGTATCAAAATGTGTCAGTTTAATGTACAGAACCAGTGCACAGAAGTATGCAAATACATTAAATGTGGKCATACTTTTGCAAATTGCACTATAAAACTCACTCTTCCATCGCGCCCAAAAAGAAGCTTATGTAAAGGCTTAAGCTCTTGTCCTGTGCATCTTGATAATTCATGGTTAACTGTTTGGAACAAAAAATATTTGATTATAATATGTTAACCAATATATTTTTTTGAAGACTTGAGGTAATTTGATCAATTATAAAATTATATGATTAAACGTAATAACAGTACACAAGACAAAAATCTGAAACCAGGACAGTGTCTACAGGTTGATAATTTTTTTWAGCATAATTTTAGACTTGAATATAGTTTCTCGAGCTGTGACTGGTCAAGCGACCAGTGATTCTGAGATGATAATCACAGCTGGAGCAGTGATTACAAGGTTTTCCAAAGTKTTCCACATTGAGAGTAATACTAAAACGTTTTTTCATCCAGAATTTCGACTGTTCTCTGATATTCTAGTCTAAAATTATACTAAACCAATAATTGGTTATAATTATTATTCCCCTCATGCTCAGTGAATATGGTGATATTTACCTCGCCGCTTGAAATGGCCAAATGGAAAGAAATTCAATACGAATATATGTATATATAATATATGTAATATATGTGCCAAACTTAGCTTAATAATGCAACTTACCAACTTCCATTGATCCTAGTGTCTCTCCTTTTCCCTATAAAAGGTAAAATATGTTGTCAGTTTTAATTAAACAGATCTTTTTACATTATACCAGGACAAAATAATAAATCCTGGTTTACAAATTCAAACCATGATTCTAATGACAATACACAACAAGGATTAATTTGTACTGATAAACACAGGAAAAAAAACAGATTTCCAAATTGGGAATTTTTTTGGGATTTTCCTTGAATTCCCAACAAATTCCCATCCAATTCCCAGAGAGAACGAAATTGGGAACATGGCACTGATTCCCAAAGTTAGTTTGCTGGGAATTTTGTTTTTCTATTGGATTTTAGAAGGAAATTCCCAACAATAAATCCCAACATTGGTGTTCGAATTGGGAATTCAAGGAAATTCCCAACATTTCCCAATTTGGGAATCTGTTTTTTTTTCCTGTGAAAAAACAAGCAACCTACATTGAATACGAGAGGTTGTGGCTCTTTCTTGATTTCAGCTTGGTCCTTCACCAGAAAATCTGTCCTTTTTCGCTGTCTCTTTCCTTCCATCACCAATGGTTTGTCATATAAACCTTCAAAAAATAAAATACTCAAATAGTCAATTGTTGTTTCATCTACATACTCTTTAACACCGAGACCCAACCTAAAAACTAAAAGGAAACCAAACTAATTTTAGGGCTTCCAAAAACAGTTACAAAATGGAGTTGAAAAATAAGGAGTATAAAGGAGAAAAGTAGAGACCTAAAAAGCACTCTATGTGATGTTTTTGATTTGTAGAATTTATTAAATCTCAGATGTCTGGTTGATTATAAATATATAAGTAAATAAGAATAAAATTAGGCCAGACTGGAACTTCGAGATTTTTCAATGCTATTATATTAGCGTATTCTTTTTTAATGGAGCATTGATTTTGTTTCTTTATTCAAAAATATTCGACACATTTTAATCTGACTTCTGCTTTACAAAAGGATTTCTATCTTGTTGGGTTACCTGTGGTAATACTTTTGTGTACCAGACTTTGAATGAATTTTAAAAATATGCAGACAAAAAACCGCTTTATATTTAATATTAAGCACTAGATCAAACAACCTGGGGAGAGTACTTCTTCTAATACCGCTATCTAAGATAGTTTCTTATAATAACTCGATTGGTATACTGATTACGAGCAGTCTGGTGTTGACGTCTGGTCGATTGATGTTCGATCAAGTATATATAATTTTTGAAAAAAAACAGTCGAATAAATGATCCGAAACAAAGACAAGAAAGCCGAGAATGAGTTCTGAAACATATCAATAGTGTGAAGTTAACTAAACATATAGATCCAATATCATAATCCAAGATAAAACGAATAAATAAAACGGATTGCAAAGCAAAGGGACACTCGTTAAGGATTCATAAGATTGTCAAGTAAAACTGTCAAATGCATCATCAAAGAATCTTAAACTAGATGATTTRTCTTTAAAAAACACACTTTTTAAACTCACCAAATAGTTCTTCGTCCTCTGAGGATTCATCATCGCCTTCTTCTTCTTTCTTTTCTTTTGCTTTACCAGCGACTTTCTTCTTGGCGCCTTTTACCTCAGCGTCGTTGACCTTTTCATCGCTCTGCCAAAAGAATCAAACAAAACAACGGCATTTCACTAATGAAAGACAAATTTCTTAGCTTTTAATCATCTAAGGTCGTTGTAGAAGATTGCATTTGGAATTTATCTACCTCCGTGGCGTTTTCGGAGTCTTTTTCGGTGTGTTCTTTTTGGTTTTTCTTGTCGTCCGCCATTGTGATCACTTCTTCCAGCAACACAGACATGAGGTGCTTTTNATTATGCCAGGACAAAATAATAAATCCTTGTTTACAAATTCAAACCTTGATCCTAATGACAATATACAACAAGGATTTGTACCGATAAACACAGGAAAAAAACAGATTCCCAAATTGGGAATTTTTTGGGATTTTCCTTGAATTCCCAACAAATTCCCATCCAATTCCCAGAAAGAACGAAATTGGGAACATGGCACTGATTCCCAAAGTTAGTTTGCTGGGAATTTTGTTTTTCTATTGGATTTTAGAAGGAAATTCCCAACAATAAATCCCAACATTGGTGTTCGAATTGGGAATTCAAGGAAATTCCCAACATTTCCCAATTTGGGAATCTGTTTTTTTTTCCTGTGAAAAAACAAGCAACCTACATTGAATACAAGAGGTTGTGGCTCTTTCTTGATTTCAGCTTGGTCTTTCACAAGAAAATCTGTCCTTTTTCGCTGTCTCTTTCCTTCCATCACCAATGGTTTGTCATATAAACCTTCAAAAAATAAATTACTCAAATAGTCAATTGTTGTTTCATTTACATACTCTTTAACACCGAGACCCAACCTAAAAACTAAAAGGAAACCAAACTAATTTTAGGGCTTCCAAAAACAGTTACAAAATGGAGTTGAAAAATAAGGAGTATAAAGGAGAAAAGTAGAGACCTAAAAAGCACTCTATGTGATGTTTTTGATTTGTAGAATTTATTAAATCTCAGATGTCTGGTTGATTATAAATATATAAGTAAATAAGAATAAAATTAGGCCAGACTGGAACTTCGAGATTTTTCAATGCTATTATATTAGCGTATTCTTTTTTAATGGAGCATTGATTTTGTTTCTTTATTCAAAAATATTCGACACATTTTAATCTGACTTCTGCTTTACAAAAGGATTTCTATCTTGTTGGGTTACCTGTGGTAATACTTTTGTGTACCAGACTTTGAATGAATTTTAAAAATATGCAGACAAAAAACCGCTTTATATTTAATATTAAGCACTAGATCAAACAACCTGGGGAGAGTACTTCTTCTAATACCGCTATCTAAGATAGTTTCTTATAATAACTCGATTGGTATACTGATTACGAGCAGTCTGGTGTTGACGTCTGGTCGATTGATGTTCGATCAAGTATATATAATTTTTGAAAAAAAACAGTCGAATAAATGATCCGAAACAAAGACAAGAAAGCCGAGAATGAGTTCTGAAACATATCAATAGTGTGAAGTTAACTAAACATATAGATCCAATATCATAATCCAAGATAAAACGAATAAATAAAACGGATTGCAAAGCAAAGGGACACTCGTTAAGGATTCATAAGATTGTCAAGTAAAACTGTCAAATGCATCATCAAAGAATCTTAAACTAGATGATTTRTCTTTAAAAAACACACTTTTTAAACTCACCAAATAGTTCTTCGTCCTCTGAGGATTCATCATCGCCTTCTTCTTCTTTCTTTTCTTTTGCTTTACCAGCGACTTTCTTCTTGGCGCCTTTTACCTCAGCGTCGTTGACCTTTTCATCGCTCTGCCAAAAGAATCAAACAAAACAACGGCATTTCACTAATGAAAGACAAATTTCTTAGCTTTAAATCATCTAAGGACGTTGAAGAAGATTGCATTTGGAATTTATCTACCTCCGTGGCGTTTTCGGAGTCTTTTTCGGTGTGTTCTTTTTGGTTTTTCTTGTCGTCCGCCATTGTGATCACTTCTTCCAGCAACACAGACATGAGGTGCTTTTGCGCGGGAAATCAAATTGAACAGCCTCGATATGGTGCATTCCGCTGACCACTTGCTTACTAAAACTTCTAGTAAAAAGCTCTTCTGTAGGAAGCCAGGGCATTTATTGGAACAGGCCGTGAAGGGGAGTATAGGGGCAAAATACTTTCCTTCTTATAAAATATACCAGAGTCGTATGCATAAAACTATAAATAGGGGTAGGGGCCTAGACTTTATAA